TCCGCTAAGTGAAGCCCAAATCTTCTTGTAGAATTACTCGTTGAGAAAGTTTCTTCGAGAGAATCCAAAGAATAATTTTTAAATAGAGTCATGTTTCTTTGTTATTAAAGCATGACAATCACATTTTTCAACGTCTTTTTTCTTTAAGGTGACGAATGACATATTTGTTCATAATACGCTCAAAGTCTGATATTTGCATATAAATTCTATCCAATAGGTTTACGTTCCTGTTAGGGGAAGTCCCTTGATATTAGGGACCTTAAGCAAACCACCACGGCGACGGCAACGGCAGCGAGGACGTGGAAGAACAAAAGATCTAATCGAGAGAATAATAGCTCAGCACGTGCGTTTTAAAACTTAGTACATTTCTTAGCCGTCCATTGCAAGACAACGACGTACAATCACCAAAATTCGCGTCGTCTGCGAACCGAAACTGCGACGGCAAATTATTCAATTTCTATTTCGAAGTGAACGCTACTTTTATACGTTATGTTGAGGTTGAGGTGTGGCGCCTCATGAGACGATAAAGACATGCAGCCATTTTCGAAATTCTAATTAAAATTAGAAATTCATTTTTTAATCGACGTCTTCCTTGGCGTCGCCGTCCTGACTGCTTATGGTCCCTCTTTTATTCGTAGCGACGCTTCCAGAGGATAGCACTCCAAACATTCTGGAGGTAACCTTCAACACCAGGTAATTATCTCACTCCGTTTGTGCAGCAAAAACGGCTAGCTGTTGTACTAATGCAACGTGATGTATTGACCCTGGCGACTGTAAGCCACTACTAACGTCTGCCAACCGCGTAGGCGACAAGATAGAGGCTTAATATTTCCATCGTCTACTGTCGTTTTCTGGCAAAATTCGTCGCGTGAGGCAGCAGGTATTACATCATTACATCACTTGTACTTGCCTTCGCTGTAGAACGAGATCCTTTAACTTCTGTTGAATGAATGATGAACTATTTTACCAATTAACAATTTATATCAGTTGTTTCAGGAGATTGAATGACGTGATATGTTGATTTTAGCTGTTGTCGACTTAGATGAACGTTTGAGCTAAATAAAAGGGTTTCCCACTATTCAGGAATCGAGGAATCATCA